TTTTATGAGTCACTCATTCAAATTACAACTCTGTTTCCACTGTTTCTTTGGTTTACTCTTTAAAAACTTTTAAATATCAAAAGATCTAGCAGTCTCTACACTGAGAGAGCTCAGTGCTACGTAGTGAACTTTCTTAGCGATTCTTGAGGCATCAGTAGCACTGACAAAAAATTTACCAACAGCCAAGTTCATATGTAGAGCAGCATCACAGCCAGAGGTCTGATGTAATGAAGAGCAGATATCTTCTACCATGGAATGAGCTGCAACAAACCTGCTGCCACACCAGTTTTACTTTTGAGGATGTGGAATTGCACCATCGGTGTATCAGCAAGAGTTGTGTACTAAACATCAGCTGTCAAGGCAAGTTGGTGGGGAAAGCCAAATGACTCTGTCAGTGTGCTGAGAGAGCAGCCCAAGAGGCTGACATGTTATGGTGAAAATGTCTCAGAGCACTGAAGTGAAGAGGAGCTATAAGTTTCCCATCTCTTCTAGAGTGCCCAAGAACCGTCAGCATAGTAACTCTTCTTCAGCATAACAGGGGAACTCTTAAATAATGAAGAACTCAAAATAATGAAGAACAGCATCAGACAGAATCTGCACCCACCTAATTTAATGATAAGCATTCAAATGAGCAGCTGCTTCTACTCTCCACATTACTGCTTGCCACAGAAACACACTGCCACTTCATTTACCTCATGCCTTTCCACCTTAACTCTTAAGATAGTTTCATATTGTCACTACAGAAATACCTATTGTGATTGAGCAGAATAAAGTCTGCATTTATGTATTCATGCAGCTCCTGGGCTTCTCTGAAGGAAAGAAAGGCACCAGAGCATAAAGGATATCAAAAGCTCCTGCTTCACTGCCACAGGCACCGGAACTCACCTGTTTCCTTGTTCCAGTACTCCCATATCTGTATCCAAGTCAACCCCCTCCAAGATACACTGCCTGTCATCAGCTTCTACAGCTATTCTGTCTGATGGATGAAAACTACACAGTACCATGGTAAGAACTTCTTCAGATGGAGTTAAGTGTTATGTCTTTTACCCTTACATTCCCTTCTCTGCCACGCACCACTACCAGCATGCTCTCAGTACTTGCTCTTGTTACTGACCATCTCAGTCCCACCTGCCATTCTCTTACTCAGAGAACCAGCTGAATTGATAATTTCTTCTCACGCTTTCTACATTTTCACCGACTTTTTCAGACAGATGGTGCTCATCTATTATCCCTTGCTGGGTAAGAGCTTCTCCACAGGAAAGGCAAACCTGGAGCCAAGGAAAATCATAGCCCAGGCATTGTCCACACCAACCAGAGCATAGTCTCACAAGACCTAAGAGCAGCAGGCAGAGCCAGATGCTGACAGCAGGCTCAGTTGACAGCCCTAGATAGAACAAAGAGAAGACTCAGGCCCAGAACCCACCCAGAGAGCCCAGGATGCATTAACAGGAAACAGGACCAAAACCAAGACTACAACATCAGTTCAAGGTCTTTCAGGAAACTTGGGTGGAGACAAAACAGGTAGCAGTCACACTTCGAACCTAATTCAAACAATGACAAATGAGGCCTCTTCTATGACAGATCAGACAAATTCTGTGTGTCTTCATGTAATAAGATCTCTACCAACTTTTCTGATTACAGTGAAGTCAATCCTGATTTAAATAATTATAATATGGGGTGACTGGCCCTAATGACTTGTTTGGTCTTATGCCTTGATCTTATCTTACACTGCTTTCAGTTAGTTATACTTTAAAAACACATATGTAGAAAAAGTGTAGAAAATGTGAGAGCAGAGAGACCAGCCCCAGAGGATGTAACAGACAGTACCAAACTGCCTCTAAGACTGTCTGACTGACTCTGAATGTTGATTGGTGTGAAATAGCCTGATGTTTTTAGATCTGCTCCTCTGCAGTTTTCACAGCTTGTTTTGAGTGGCATCTAAAAGTCTCTAACTCTCCAAAATGTGAGTAAACAATTGTAAAACCTTAAAGGTCAGCATTTTCTAGCATGAGGTGTCTCTGCCAAGGTGAGAGGGAGGAAAGAGAAGGTTGTCCCATTCCCTGGTGGGAATGGGAAGGTGGTTCTTGCTGGAGCCTGATCCACATTCTGATGCTCACCCCCCTTTCTCCAGGAAACAAAGTCAGCACATAGAGCAATAACACAAGACTTCTCAATGTATCATGGCCCTTACTGGTGCTTGGGTCAGCCTTAGCTCTGATAGGTTTTCTGACAGAACCTCTTCAGTTCCCTTTTCAGGAGGCATTCCCCTCCCTGAGCATTGCTCTCAACAGCACAAGTAACCTTTCTTTGGTCTTGTCACAAGACTAAAATGGGATAGACGGAGTGATGTCTCCAGTCCCCTGTGGGCATAAGACGGGATAGATGGAGTGATGTCTCCAGTCCCCTGTGGGCCTAAGTTGCAAACATGTCACTGAACATCTCAGGAATGAGACAAATGACAGTAGTCCCTGCGTGGACCAGAATCCTTTCTTTTTCTGAAGCAAAATCCCAGGCTGATCCTCATCATTGCTCTAAATTCTGGTTAAAAATACCTGACCTTGTGAGACTTCACAGTTCTCCCCGGGCAGCCAGCCCCTCCCTGTCCAGCAAAACACCTGCTGATGTTTACTGAGGACCAGAGAGTTATGCCTGTCTTCACGTGTGCCTGCCCTTGATCTGATGGCCCCCTGATACTGGCTCTTCGTATATGTAATCTTCTCCTACAGCTTGATAACTTACTTGTTATGCACCCACACGGACACATGCGCCGACCTGCAAGAGGGGGTTGTGGGGGGGCGGCAGGTGGATGTGGATGTCAGGGTGTGCTCAATCGCCCTCTGCCCAAGAGCTGCGGCACCGCACTGGGGGCGGAGGGGGGAGGTTCCTCCTGCAGCCTCCCCTGTACTCGGGCTGCTGCTGTCCATCTCCAGTGATGGGCTCTGCTCTCCTCGGGAAGCAGTTGGAAGGAATGCTCTGCAGTGCTGACACATCTCCCCGGATCCGCTGTTTATCGGGGCGGGGGGAAAAAAACTCTACCGGAATACTGAGCACTTAGTAAGTGATCAAATAATCATCGCTCCTCCACGGAACAAAACTGGTCTCGTTCGCCAGCGGGAGTCTGAGCCGCTGTTTCCGTGCTCCGCCGCCCACGGTGGTGAAAGAAAACCCTGGATGAATGGGAAGCTCGGGGTTTCCCTGCCACCCACCACCTCCGCAGCCCAGCCCAGCCCAGCCGTGTGGGCCGGGACTGCGGCGCCTGCCGGGGGCGGGAGCGCCTCTGCTGCCCTGCTGTGCTGCTTCTTGCTGCCCGCCCGCCCTGCCTTTTCCCGCGCCCTCTCCGCGGGCCTGCGCGGACCCGGCTGGCTTCCCCCGGCTGCCTTGCCAACCCGGCCGCCCCTTACGTAACTATTTGGTCCCACACTTTGGTTATCCCCCTAACCTCGGAACGGCCCGCTGGATTACAGCACCGTGGACCGCCTGGGCGGCTTTTTTTGAAGCGCAGGCCTGCGGCCGCAGGAGCCCCTCCTGCCCCGCGCAGATCCCGCAGGGACACTGCCTGTGCAGCACCCCGTGGAGGCTGCGCCGCCTCAGGAGGAGCCCCGCGCTCCCACCACAGACTCCTCCATTTCCCGGTGCTTTCTCCCCCCTCTCTCGCCGCGGACTCCCTCCTTTCCCTCCGCGGTTCAGGGTACTCCCAGTCGCAGCCCCCCCATAAGCGCTCTGTCCGGGATGGCGGTGCGCGGGGTCGCCCCTGGCCGCCAGCGCCGCTCCCAGCCCTGCACTCCGCGGAGGACAGCGCGCACTGCCATTCGTGCTCGCAGCCCATTATCCTGAATGGGAGAGTAATTCCCACGCCCAGCTTGCTCAGAGATTTTCAATAGCTCTATACCACGTAAGCGAGAAGAATCGGCCACAAGCAAATGCCTTAATTTTATTTTTTTTTTTTTTTTTTTTTTTACCGGAGCGCCCACCGCACGAGGGGATGAAGGGATACTCCATTCACTGAACTGGGTACTCCTCACGGCTGGGCAATGGTTTCCTGTTCCCTCCGCGCTGCTTTTGGGGAACAGCGGAGCCAGACCTCACCGGGCTCGTAGGGGTGGCAAAGGGCATCCCCGCTACCTTGCTCTCTGTCTTCCCGGTGCAACTCGTCCCCGCTGCCGAAGCCCGAAGGGACAGGGGAGGAAGCGCTACAGGGAAGGAAGGCGGGGGTGGGGGTGTGTGTGTCCCCCCCGCCGCCTCGCTTGCTGTAACAGCACGTGGTGCTCCTGGGACGCGGGTCCTCAAACGCCCCCCCCCCGTCCGCCCAGCCAGCTCGGCTTCGCGAGGAGCTTTTTATAGCAGCCCCGACACGCTCCCCGATGGGAGGTTTCTCGCCGCGCTCACGTTACCGTGCGGGTGCGATGTTAAACGAAGGAGGGGGAGGAGGGGAAGGGAGTCCAGCGAGCGCCTAATTAAGCGCCGGCGTTAACCAGGAGAGCTAAAAATAGCGGCGAGCGCTGCAAACCACCCAACCGCAGACAGCAACCCCCGTCGGTCCCTCTCGCGCCTCCGCCGCTGAATGGAGCGGCCGGCGGCTGAATGGAGCGGGCGGGAGCATGAATGGGAGCGGCGGGTGGCGGGCGGCGGGCCGGCGGGAGTGCGTGCGGATGGCGCGGGCGCAGCCGGAGCCCCGGCGCGCACGTGCGGCGCGGGGGGCGGTCGGTGTCACCTGGCGGCGCGGTGGCGGCGGGCGGTGGCGGGGCGGCGGGAGGGGAGCTTATAAAGTGTCCCGCCGCGGCACGGTACACTCTTGGGGAAACTGCCCGGCTCGAGTAGCGGCAGGTGGCCATGGGAGGCGGCTCCCGCCAGCCCCGCTCGCCTTGGGCGGGCAGCCCCGCGGCGGTAGGGCGGCTGTGGCCGGGGCCCCCGCCCGGACTTGCGTCCTACCGGGACGCAGCGCCGGCGAGCGACCCGCTTTCACGCGTACTTCGGCTTTGCCCTGGGTGGCAGCGGCAGGAATGAGACTTGACGGGAGCGAGCTGAACCGCTCCGTCCTCCGCGGGACCCGCCGTGCGAGGGTGCCCGCGCCGCCAGCCCGGGGGTGACCTCCACTTGGCCGCCCCATCACTCATCTTCACCATCGTGTTAGGACCTTGCTTGGGCAACCTCTGGTCGTTCTTTCGATCTACCGCAACAAGAAGCTGCGAAACGCGGGTAAGGGGCGATGGGAAGGCCCGGGGGCGCCGCCCGGGCTGGGGTGGGGAGGTCCGCGGTCCCGGGTCGCGGAGCTGTGGCCGCTTCGTCTGTCCGTAAAACTTTCCCCGGGCGCGCAACTCCAGGGCTGGGCTCTGCTCGCATCCTCAGCTGGCGGTTATAGGCTGTGACAGATGCTAAGGGCTTCGTCTTCCTTGTCGAGTCGGTAATCGAGCGGGAAAGGGTATTTTTAGCTCCCGCCACCGAGTCGTGGTGCTATTTTTAGCTCTCGGCAGTTCCCACCTAGCAAAAGAGAGCGGCAAGTAAGCCGCACTTAAGAATGAAATGTAGTCACCATACCGGGGATGCTGCTGTGGCATACAGTGTGTGTCTGTGCATGCTGGATGCTATTCTTCTGATTGATTTTCTTTGAGTTACAGAAATGTCTCCAGTAACAAATGCTATGGTTGGAGCTTCAAATCAAGGAAATACGAAATTATAAACATTGCAGGATTCAGGCAATTCCCTCACCCTGCTTTGTTCACCTCCTACTTGCTGTCTAGGTCTTTGGGGAATGGGAAACATCTAACAGAAAACAGCTTTAGGCACGTTTTTTAAAAAAGTAAAACTCTAATTTTGACAGGATAGAATCTGTGCTGGCCTATTGAGTAAATCCCTCTTAGTTCATGGATTATTGGTCAGACAGGCAGGAACTTCTTCAGATTCATTCTGCTTTATCATGTCAGACCAGCTGCTGCGCACGTGTACCAAATCTGTGCACTCTAAATCCTGTGCATCTTTCATTGAAAAAATACAGGAGCATGGGAGGAGAGCCACACTGTTAATGAAAGCAGAATTTCACTCCCTGACAACTGGGAAGCTGCTTTTATTTTTTTCCCAACTCAGCTCTCAGGGTCTTTATTATTACTCCACTAAGTTCATTACCTAGTGGTTTAAAATTCATCTGAGGTGGAACTTGAGCCCAGGCTTTGCTGTGAGCTAGCCTAAGATAGCTATAGCTATTGGACTCTGGCAAACAGTGGCATGCTAAACTTTCTAAGGTTAATTCAGGTAATTCAAATGTATTGTACATTTCAGTTTTATTCAGCCACAGTGGAATGCCACACACAAGATCAAAACGAAGAGTAACAAATTTTATTTTTTTTCTCCCTGTGGTTGCCGCTGATGTAAATTCTAAAAGCTATATTTGCTTCCTGCTTTCATTCACAGAAATCTCATTCACTGGAGCTGGCAGGGTTACACACTGCCATAGTGTGTAATTGAGAGGAGACTCAAACTCCGGAAGTCCAAGTCAGCACTTGACTACTCTTGTTCCCTGGGATATTTTCAGATGGGGGGAAGAGAGGGTTGAGACAGGCATATTACTGGGGCTACACCAGGGGAAAGGGTGATATTCTCCTCCTCAATTAGTAAATCGATTTACTATCTATTCAGCACTTCTGTGGGGAGTTGCAATACAAACGTGTCTGGTAGTAAGTCTGAAATAAACGTGGTGCCTGTTTTTTGGAAACAACTGAATCATTGGGCTCTATATGTGTGCATACTCTCTGCTGTACATCTCATGTAATCCCTCTTGAAACTCAACACGTGCTCACTTGCTCACTCTTACTGCATTTCTTGTTCTTGCCTTTTCTGTCATAGTGGCTGTTAAGAACTGCAGCAAACTGGCAACAGTAATCTCCTACAGCCAGGGGAATAGAGCATTCTTCTGAACATAAACTATTTGAGACTGGAACGTGAACTAGATAATGATTTACCCTCTGAAATTAAGGATTAATAAAAACAAGTAGATACTTTGTACTATATGGTAGATAGTTTATACTTCTTTTTAGCAAAAAAATAGCAAGCTTTTATTGTTAAGTTTTTTGTAGGTTTTTCTTTCTTTAAAATATGGGCGTTTTAGTACATGGATAAAGGGAAACTTTGGAAATAACATAATTGATAAGATTCAAAAAGGTGTGCTAAGTGTTTTTGATTAATCCTGCAAAGTCCTATGCCTGGACATAACTTTACTTATGTGAGCACCACTATTAAATTTGGCCTTCAGTTAAAAAGGGGTTACTCAGGCAAGTAAACTTAAGACAGGGCATAAGTATTTAGAAAACTCTGGCCTAATATTTGTAAATCTGAAGACTAAAGTCTCCTAAATCTTGTTTACACTAATTCAGATTATTCAGGAAGGGATTATATTGAAAATAATCTGCTTTATACATACAACTAGCTTGTAACTTGGTGATGTCAAAGACAGTTATGACTTTCTAGAGAGATGTAATAAGAAAGGAAATTCTGGTTTTGCAACAACTTATATTAATAAGTATGGCTGGCATATTTATTGAGGAAAAAGGACACAGGATGAAAATTCCAGCGGAAAAAGGTCAGGGAGGAACAGAAGATGCCTCCTGAAGAACATGTATCTCACTGAAGATTTTCTTCCCTCTTTGCAAGAGAGGACTAACAGAAATAAAGAGTATTTTAACACTTTACCAAAAAAGTGGATTTGGTGGGGGAAAACATCTTTCATCTCTGTCCTACTCTATTATATAAATATTTTTTGGAAGATAACTGCAAATTGAACCTGTGGACTTATGATTTTAAAAGTGCATTGGGGAATAGTAGGAAGGCCTAGAAAAACCTTCTCAACAAGTGATGTAACCTTCCTGACAGTCAGAAGGTTAGTAAAAGACACTGATCAAAGCAGAGAAGTCAGTAACTCGAAGTTTGTCTCAGCAAGCGAGGAGTGTCTGATACTACAGACTCCTTCATAGGCACAAGCATGGCTTCAGTAGATGCTCTTCTAGACACAGAAGCTGATGATGCAACTGGTAGGATCCTCTTTTATTTAATGTACTTGACTTGTAATAAGTTGCATAGTTCTGGTCTGTTTTTAATTTTATGGTGGCTTTGTAATCTAAGAGGTGCCTGACACCAATTCAGTCCTGATGGGAACAGCTGCAATTTAATGTTGACCTACACAAAGACTGAATTTGGTTTATGATGTCTGTGATCTTTTAACTTTGGCACAAAGTTCAAGGGAAACATTCAAGGCATAAGGATTTTAATGACTATATCTTGATAGCACATTCATACATCTTGAACTTTAAACTGATGTGCTTTCTTTAATAATTAATTTCTTAAAAGAATGAGAATAGCTCACTTAAAAAAGTTTTGTGTAAATCATTCTAAGGTGTCTTGTTTTCCATTACTAATATTCATACATCAGAAATAAGGTCATTCAACATTTTCACCCTGAAATGATGCAGTAACTAGCATTAGGGAAAGTGGATTAAAGAACTACTGGTACTTTTAGCAATAAGTGTAGTTTTTACTTGAAACTATCTACATTTAATTAGAGCACCTCAGAAAACCGAAGAGATCATATGAAGTGATTTATGTGATACACACAAATTTGGTGATTGCTGGTATCCTTATGCCTTTTTTGTTACCCACACCAAGAAAAACAATGCATCAAGAACAAGGTGAGGGAGCAGTTCTGTCTTTGACTACGGAGATTAGTTTATGAGTTGTGACATTAAAATGTCAGTTAGAATGCACCTGTCATTTTGGTGATGGTGGATTTGGGTAATGATTGCAGAACTGGACCATTCTTAAGGTCAATGAAAAAAGCTTTCTTGAGTGCTATCACACCTCTTGCTCTTCTTTCTCTTCCTTTTGAAACTATTATCTTGGCCTGGTGGGTTACTTTTTTCCTGGGCACTTTTATGTGTTGAGGTCCAGAGGTTCCCTGACTACCCCTCCAACAGAGCCCTGTGTGAGAAGGGAGCCTCCAGCAGGCAAGAAGAGTCCCAGCAGTCTCACCCTCGCTCTTCTTTGCCTGTTCTATCTGCTAACATCTGACAGGGGTTGGGATAATACAGGGACTGGTGCCAAGCTGGTAACTAGCACCTACCACATCAGGGCAGAAAGCTGCATTCACCCTTCTCATCCATCTCTGTTCTGTGCTAGATGTATTTGGGGTTCTATACTTTTTCCCAGTTTTCCATGTCCTTGGCCCAAATGTTTTGTTGCTAAAGCTCTTTGTTTTGTTAATAGTAAGGAAAGCAGAGAGGAAGCTCAATATTGCTGTGTTGCTGAGGCCTCAGGCCCCTGGAGCAGCAAGATGCAGTTAACTTCACTAGGACTGCACACATGCTTAAACCTACGTATGTGTGGTAACTACTTCTCTGAATGAGATGGCAATGAAAAAGGGAAAAACCCCAATGTTTGTATGCTCACCTCTTTTAGGTCCAAGAGTTCTGTGAAGACAGCTCTGTGAGTGCAAACAAGAATAATAAACTCAAGAGTAATCTCCAAAATCAGTGAAGTTACTTTTGAAAGAACTAAGGAACACAGCTACTTACGATTTTTTTTTTTCTAATTCAGTCTTTGCTAAATAAAACAGTCATTGCAGAATTGAGGATGAGAATCTATCAGTAAGAATTCCATTTTGGAGGCTTTTCAAACAGGTCCTGGGTTTCAGTTTGAGCAGTGTAAGAATCTAGTTGAAGAGTGTTCCTCTCTTAGTGCACTTTCTAGAATGTAAATTGGAACTATCTTTTGATAGTCAGATTGGAGATATCATAAGCCTTTTCAGAAAAGTATTGTTCTTGATGACGTTTTGTTTTTTAATTTTAAAATTATAATGTTAAATGCTATAGTAAAGATTGTTTTATCTAATAAATAAAACTCCTGTTGTGAATTCAGACTAATGGAGTCATTCTTTTTGTCACAGGTGATCCTTGGACTTCATTTTTGTGCCCTGAGAGACTGGGTAGCCCGACAAATACTTGACTCAAGGAGGAGAACTTGTAGAAGATCAAGCGGTAGCACAAATTCAGGGTTCTGATAAAAACTGAGATGTTGATGGCAATGAACATTATTTCAGAAATTAATAACTTCCAGTATTAAAAATGGTAAGCTGTTTGGGAGAAGGGAAAATGTCTAGTGGAGATGCTGAACTTTGCCCATTGTTGAAAAGAACTGAGCATAAAAGTACAGTTTCA